TACCCCTTTGGTGACCATCCACATGAAATACAAATATTTTCACTTTGTTTGACCCTTCCAGAGAGGTCTTTCCACATACTGCTGGTGAAACAGTCTAAATCACAGTTCTGAAACTTATGTTTGCCTGTCACCCTCTTTTCTGAAAAAAAGTACACAGCATGCCACTGGCCATTAAAAACGTTTGTACGGCAGCCCATAATCCAGGATAAAATACAGGCATTGCTTTTGCAGCCCCCCAGCCCCCACCCCAAATCATCCCAGCTTCTCCCAGGGGCAGTCTAAACGTTAAGATGAAGGTATCTTGCAGATGTGACTCATGTTTAAATAGTGGACTCTATGTAAAGGAGAGTGTCCTCAATAATGTAGGTGGGCCTCCAAATCAGTTGACAAATCGAGGCTCCCTGAGAAAGAAAACATTATGCCAATTAGAAATTCTGCCTGTTTTTAGGTTCCTACAAATGTCTGACTTGTTGGCCCTCACAAATGAATAAGGCAATTTCTTAAACTAAATATCTATACTTGTGTGTGTGTGTGTGTGTGTGTGTGTGTGTGTAAGAGAGAGAGAGCTCAGTGATAAAATCCTTGCCTCCCTTGCAGGAGACCTAGCTTCGACTCTGAGCGAGTGCGCTTCATGTGTAGCCACAACCCATCTGCCAGTGGAGACATGTATGTTGCTATCATGCCAAACAGGCTTCACCGAAGCTTTCAGACTAAGGCACACTTGGAAGAAAGAACCTGCTTCTGAAATTCAGCCAATGAAAACCCAAAGATCCCCAACGTCTGATCTGTTGTACACAGGGTCATCACGAGCCAAGAGCTGACTTTGATCTGACAATACAAATATATATGTATCACCTATTTCTCTAGAGAACCCTGAATAATTCATATGGCATCCATTGTTCAATAGGTCATTTTTATATAAAGCTTTTATCAGAAATTGGACACAATAGAGAACTTTTATGATTCTATGCATCCGAGGGCCTGGAATCGGCAAAATAAATCTGTAGCAATGTTGAAAAAGCTGGATAGCCGTTGGTATAAAAGTAAATGAGGAAAAAAAAAAGTAAATGAGGATCCATACCTCATACCATAAACAAAAACTAACTCAAAATAGATCACAGTTCTAAAGGTTAAACATAAAACAGTAAGATTCATGAAAGACGTCAGAGAAACAAAACAAGGGTTTCTAACTTATGTCATAAATATACTCTCAAACATAACTAAAAATGCAAAAATGACAGAAGATAAACTAGATAAATAGGACCTCCTAAAAAATAAATTATTCTCATAAAAGACTTTCTCCAAAAGAGAATCTATTAACTGGGGAGGAAATGCTGGCAATCACATATCCAAGGAGGGCTTATCTCTAAAAGGAAACCTCAGTGCCTCAACGACAGACAACCAACTTTTAACTCCAGAAGTCGACTATAAACACAGTTCACCAAAGAAGACATTCAAGCAGGTAACAAACCTGTAGAGAGATGCTCACAACCATTAGACATTAGAGAGAGGCTAATCAAAACCACAATGAGCCACCACCTTTCTGCAGCAAGAATAGAACTGATTTTTAAAAATTAAAAGAGGGTGGCAAGACTGGGGAGAGACTGCAACTCTAATGTGTTGCTGGTGGAAACATAAATTAGCACTACTATGAAAAATGGTGTGGTGTCTCTTTAAAACCTACAAATAGGAATAGCATATGATCCAATGATCGCACTCCATAACTATTTACTAGCGAAATAAGAACTGTGACATGAACAGACAGGTTCACATCTATGTTCATCACAGCACTATTACAATAGAAAAAATATGAAAACAATTAAATACCCACAAATGTATAAGATGAGATAAACTATGGACACACGCAAACACAATGGAGCATTAGGTGATGTTAAAGGATCACAATGAATCTCTAAAACACCTTAAAACGTGGATGAACCTGAAGGACATTACATTGAATAAAATAGGTAAATCACCAAAGGGCAAGTATTGTATGAGATTTATAAAAAGCCACGAAAAGGTGGTTTTCACACAAAAATAAACTCTGATTGTTATCTGTAGTGAGAGGGGAAGGAAGGGTGCATCACTACATAGAAGGTAGATACATTAACTTGGGTGAGAGTGCCTCATTATATAAAGTGAGAAAAATGTGATAAAAGCAGAGGAATAGAGAAGTATGAGAGTAAAATACAAGAGAAATAAATACGACCATATACACACTACTACAAAATAAAAATCGACAATCGAAGGCCTAGATAGGCACACAAGATGAACAGGTATGGTAAGGAGAATAGAGCTATATTCTTATGAGTTTGACAGAGGCTATGTCTACCTACACATTTTCCATGCTGCAAATATATACGTGCATATAGTAAAAAGAATACATAGAGCTCCTGTACCAAACAGAACTAGTCAAAATTCAATTATTCCAGAAGGGAGCATATGAGCAAGAATAAATGACATTGAAGCTAGAAATCCAAGTTGCACTGAAAGCATTAGCAAAAAAAAAATAATAAAGCTCCAGGAATTGATGGAGTACCAACTGAAATGTTTCAACAATCTGATAAAACACTGGAAGCACTCACTCATCTATGTCAGGATGTTTTGAAGACAACTACTCAGCCAATTGACTGGAAGAGATCCATATTTTTACCCATTTTAAAAAAGGATGACCCAACAGAATGCTCAAATTATAGAGCAATATCATTGACATCACATGCAAGTTAAATTTTACTGCAGATTTTCCAACAACAGATATAGCAATTCATTGGCAGAAAACTGCCAGAAGTTCTGGCAAGATTCAATATTTTGTTCACTCAGCCCCACAAAGGTTCTAAAGGACCCCTTAATGTATTTTTTGCATTCGGCACTCTTTCTTCCTAGAAATCACCAGTCTTTCTCACTGCATACTTGTGTAATTCTTTGACTGCTATCTGCCTCCCCCAATAGAGTAGAGACTGCTTCACAATATGGACTCCATCCCTTTCTCTTGCCTTTGAACTCTTCGTTACTAATGCAATGTCTGGAGGGCTTGTTAAATGACTGAGTGAATGAATGAAGTGTGGGTCATTAAACCTTAATAAAAATTCTTTAAAAATGTTTTTTTAATTCTAACAAGACAGTCATATAGGCAGAATGTTAACAGCTACTTCATCCAACGCCTTTTAAACCCAAGCAGTTCCTTTTCTCAGCACCTTGAAAAATGCAGTTTTCTCTGTAAGGAGCGCCTTACAATCGCTTCTGTAATGATTGCTTATCCTCCTTTGGGTCTTGGCCTAAATGCCACCTCTTCAGAGAAAGTGTTCCTAACTCCACATCTGGACCTGTGCTATCACCACTCACAGAAGCCATTACTTTGATTTATGATGGTGTCATAAATTTCTATAGTTATATGGCCAATGAAGGTTTCCCCTCCTGCCAAGAAGTGTTTCTGTGTTGTTGACTTCTGACTCACTAGGCACCTGGTGCCTGACACATAGTAAGTGCTCAACAAACATTTGTGCAATGAAACATGGAGAAAACACAAAGTAACAGAGACACTGAAGTTACTGAGCTGCTGAGCGACTGACATCTAAGAAAGCTACAGAAAGGAAGAGCGTACAAGTGAAAAAAGAAAAAGGAAAGAAAGGAAGGAAGGAATCATACAGGCACATATTCCCGATCATCTCTTTCTGCTTGATTCTCTGACATGATCTCCCCAGGAGTCTGGTCCCATTAGGCATTTTCTAGTTGATAAGGAATTTCTGTCATATATACAACAGAAATTCTTAAATGAGCAAAAACACCCAAGGAGAGTCTCAGTTCAAATTTCTATTAGACAATCTTATCAGGTATAAGAGCTCCCCTGACACCTGACAGGCTGGGCAAACCTTCGTCACTAAGACTTCCTCCTTAATCCACCAGGCCAGCATCCCAATGTGAGTAGTTAATGGTTAGTTCCCCTTAAACATCTCTCATCCTGTAGAATCAGGTAATCTTGGTGTCACAGGCCACCACCCTGGTAGCAGTGGTTAGGAGTTAGGCTGCTAATTGGAAGGTCAGCAATTCGAAAACCCCAGCCTCTCCAAGGGAGAGATGAGACTTTCCACTCCTGAGTTTGCCTTCTGGTTTGAGGGCCAGAAGAAAGAGCCCTGGTGGTGTAGTGGATTACACATTGGGCTGCTAACCACAATGTCTGCAGTTCTAACCAATCAGCTGCTCTGCAGGAGAAAGATGAGGCTTTCAGCTGTAAAGTTTTATAGCCCTGGCAACCCACAAGGGCAGTTCGACTCTGCCCAATAAGGTCATTATCAGTCTGAATCAACTTGAAGGCAGTGAGTGTCATGGGAAATGTGCCCTACACCGAGCTGGTTGATTCAACAAGGCTTTGCAAATAAAACATATTCTAATATTTTCCTGGATTTTTCTACAAAGTTTGGAAATCCTTATAATTAATTTAGCAGTCTAAAAAAGTAGTAGATAGGTTTTATTGACTTCCACCTTATTTGGTCAGTTCACTAGGACTTGTGGACACTGCACAAAGTGAGTGTTTACGTTTTGAGAATGATAAAATTAGCATCTAGTCAATGCTATCTTTGATTATTGGCTGTGGCTGTTTAGAAATGCTGGTTCGTACTTTCTATCGGAAAGTCTGTGTGAATTATAAGGCCATCAACAAATTTATTTTAGTTAAGGAGTTATCTCTATATTTGAATAAATGAGTTTTCTATATAAAAGGAGGGTTTGGCGGCTAATTAGACGCCTCAAATGACCAACATATGTTCCAAACACGCTTCCACGATTTCCCACAAAATATTTGGTGAAAATGAACATTTCAGAAGAACGTTTTTCCCATAGCTTCTTTGTAGAGGATCTAAAATGCTGGTCATAAGGTGCCCATGCCTGAGAAACTGAATCTTACCTCTTGGCTAGGCTTTTATGAAAACAAAAATTTCCAGAATTTATCTGGAGGTTGCAGTATAGGAGTCAGAAAAAGATGATCAATTAACTATAAAGACAAGATGTTAAATGCAGAAAGGTGAGGTGGGGGTGGGGAGGTTCCTTCGCCCTTTGCCTCTGGTATCTTTTCTACAAAGCTTCAAGGAATAAGTTTTCCAAATTACAAGTTCCTTTCCCAGTCCTGCCTCAAAACTAGGCTTTCCCAAATCCAGTGTCAGAAGGAAAGAGCTGCCTGGGGCAACTCCCCAACCCAAAGCTCTGCTTAACAGCGCCCATCGTGGTGTCAACACTTCTACTACAGACGCCAGGGCCAGCGGATCGCGAAGGTGCGACTCTCAGCTCGAACGTACCCCTTGTAGTCACCTAGGAACCTTGCAGTTCCAGATTCTGGAACTGGAGCGTGCTCAACAGGTTCTCAGCACCGCGGCCGAAGCAGTGACTGACTTTCTTGGCCAAAAGGTGATCCACGTGCGATGGGCTCTCCGGATTGCACCTCCTCCCTCTCGGCTCCAGACGGCGCACGTAAGGCGCCGGGAGAGCCACAGTAGGCGGAGCTCCGTGAGAAGAGGGCAGAGCCCGGAGGAGAAGCCGAGCCCGCGTAGGGGCGGGGTCCGACGAGAAGGGGCGGGGCCAGACGGAGTTGCGGAGCCGGACGGG